CAAACAATAATAAATATGTCATATCATATGAATTTATATTTAATAAATACAATAGATGTTATTTATGTGCATTTGAATTCATATTGGCTTTTATTCAGAATGTTTTTCATTCTCCCAGCTGCATTTCATATTCGTTTTGTGTCGCTATAGTTACAAGCTGACTGTTTTTATTTATTAAGATCGCTTATCTGATGACCCATCTGTCAAAAATCTAATATTGTTATTAATTACCCACCTGATTACTCTTACATTTTCCTCTGAATAGCCAGTAATATGAGTGCTAAAATAAATAATACAACCCTAATCTCTTATTAACTATAATTTTTTTTTTCACAGAAACAAAATATGGCTTTTCTTTTACCGTTTAATTGCTCAAATGGTTGAAGATTTTTCTATTCAGTATGTCATAATAAAAGTCCGTTTTACCTGATCATTGACCATTGCTTGACATGAAGGAAAGTCATTGCTAGCAGCAGGAATAGATTTGTTTCTCAGAAGCTTGAATTTGGCTCTTTCTCCTCCTCAGAGTGAGAGTTTTGTGAATCAGAGACAGTTCGGTCGAGAGCTCAAGGGACTGGATTATGATATCGTTGCTAAGAATGTGTCTGGCAAATCCCCAGTGCCTGATTTCTTAAGAGTGTTTGATTACCCTCAGAAGACTCAGCCTCGGTTAATGCATTAATTATGCGTCTGATTTACATAAACGGTCAATATGGAACTTGGAAACAACACTACAGTTGACAGAGCTGCGTTATTGCAAAGTGATGTTTGTTGTTGATTTGACTGTAATTTGAGCTAATCTATTTAAAGCTGAAGACAAGTTTTTAATTCTTTTTCAAATATTACCAAGTGCTGTTTAACCGATGATAAGAATGCCATGAAAGAATGAATGTAGCAGAAATCATGAGTTTATTTTACTAATTATTTTGCAAGATACTAGTATTCAGCTTCAAGTGAAATTTAGGGCGTACTCGCACTATGCTATCCAAACCATGCCCAGGCCCCTTTCCCGGATCGCTTGAGAAGTGTGAGTGCGCTGAATCGGGCTCAGGCATGGTTCATCTGGCCGGCCCTGGCCCGGTTGGAAGAGGTGTGCCTAAGCACGGTTCACTTGGGCTTTGGCGCGGTACGCTTATGTGTGTGAGTGCAAAATGTGCCAGAGCCCGAAACTGAAAGCGAGACGTGACTTTTAAGGGACTGTTTCATATGGATTTATTAATCATTCTTACCGTTCAGTGAACGCAAACTGTCGTAGTTTATTATAGATGCAAACCCCTCACTGCACGACAGCTGCTTCTTCAGCAAACCTCCTAATTCCTGCAGCACGAGGACTTTACATTTGTTTATAAGCATCAAAAGCGGCTAATCTGTTCGGCAAAATATTTGACTGCTAGTCACTTCATGTGAAACGACATAACTAAAGAAATCTCCACTGTGCTGAGTGAGAGCGCTTGCTGAACACCACTGCATCGATGATGTAAGCGTGCCCAGGACGGAATGTAATGTGAGAGTGAAAAAAGTCAGGAAAGTGAATGAGTCCAGCTTTGTGTAGGTGGGAGTGTCGAGTGGCAAAAGAGGGAACGGTTTGCATGAAAAGTGGAGTTTCAGTACATGCATGCACTGAATTTTAGAGCAGCAAAACAACGCAGGGATAGGCAGTGTAAACTTTTTGTAAACTTATTAACGAAATCATTCTGACTAAGGTAGCCTATGTCTTTAAAAACTGAAAGAGTACAGCTGACGATACTAAATAACTTTGCCTCTAAATAAACATAAACAAAGAACAATGATCACACATTTACAGAGACAGGACAATCAACACAAACTGGAACCAAGCTTTTTTTTAAAGAAAATAAGTGGGAAATGCAGATCTCACCATTTTCAGATGCGAAAAGCTCTTGGGGGAAAAAAAAATGTTCCTTATTAATATATTTTTGTAGTGTGTTAGCAGACCACTGTAATTCACAAATGTGAGTCCAGCTACGCTCTCATAGCAGGGAAATGGAAACAAAACCTTCTGTGCAGCACATTTATAAATGCAACACTGACATCCCATGTCTCCAAACAATTATTTTTCTTCCACTTGTTTTAATTACGGTTGGCAATATAACATGGCGTCTCTCTGCCGTCTGCACACTGTTACAGGTAAAAACGGTCTTCAAAGCTATCATGCATATTAATGAAGTTGCACCTTATTTACAACAAAGCGCGCTAATTGGTTCGAACCAAGTCTTTCAATTACAAATTACACAGTTTACACATTGATCTCATGGCCATAACGTAGCTTCAACATTTCTTTTCAAACTGGAAGAACAAATTTGCTAGAAATAACACAAAAACAACCAATTTCCACTTTTTTTGTGAAATATATGTGTCCTAACAGTGTTTTTAGCAGTGTGGGAAATATATATATATATATATATATATTATCATAACAAAATATTAATATTATTAAGTAACTGTGCAATTTACAAGTACTGTTTTATATTTGTAGTATTTTTTAAATGCATTTCATCTCTGTGATTTAAAAAGTGTAACTATAATTTTGTCATCATTTACTTGTTCAAAACATGTTTGAGTTTCTTTTGTTATGTTTTTGTTAAACACAAAGGAAGATATTTTGAAAAATGCTAGTTGCTGGGACCCATTGATTTCAAATTTTTCACTTCTATAAAGTCGATGGATCCCAGCATCCAACATTATTAGGCTAGAAAATGTGATCAACTTTTTGGAATTTTTTTATTTATTTAAAATTTTAAGAAAAAAAATATTTGAAATAGCAATCTTTTGAAACATTCTAAATGTTTTATTACACTCTAAGAAAAATTCTGGGTTGTCATAACCCAAATTTGGGTCTGTTTAGGAAAAAAATATTTTAATCCAATGATTGGGTTTGTCCATATCTTACTTAGATTTTTTTTAGAGCAGGGCTTCTCAAAATCCGTACTCCAGACTGGATCTGGACCATGAGTGTATTCAATCCAGACCCGACTCCATTTCATATGGAGTCATATTCAATTCATATTCATATGGAATATTCAAATTGTGATAAATGCATAAACCTTGTAAATCAATAGTTTAGTTATTTGTATTTTTGTATAAATAAAATTGAATCATGTTTTTCTACCTGATTTTGTTGTCATGACATCCAGTGATCATACGAGGCTTCACGTGATCGAGCGGGTTAATCTTGCGCGTGTGCAGGTGCTTTAATGCAAAGCAATAATTTCAATAAATGGAGATGTCAGTCTCATGGAAAAGAAAAGTTGGTGAAGAGAATAGACAGTTTAAAGTTGAATAGACAGAGAAGTATGCATTTATTTTTTTAATTCAGTTCAACTCACCTTTATTTCTATAGCGCTTTTACAATGTAGATTGTGTCAAAGCATATAAAAAAGTCATATAGAAAATTATAGTAAATTAAAAAAGTGTCTGTCCGTTTTGCCACAAGCCAGCACAAAGCCATTCTGCTTGATTTGTAATGAGACAATTGGAGTTGTTAAGAGTGAAAATGTAAAACGTCACTATGAAACACGGACATTTTGAATGACAGTATCCACAAAATACAAATATAAGTTTTCATTAAACACCTTTTGTATTTTTCACTTTTTTGCATCTCTGAGAATTATTATTTTTTTTTTCAATTTAATTCACCTTTTTTATAGCGCTTTTACAATGTAGATTGTGTCAAAGCAGCTTCACATGGAAGATTATAGTAAATTGAAACAGTGTCAGTTCAGTTTTCAAGGTTTAAGTTCAGTTCAGTTTAGCACAGTGGATATTTATTTTAAGTGTCAATCAATCAACTGGTGTTCCTAATAAAGTGTCAACCAAAAAGTGTACATTGAGTTTTTTACTTTTTTGGAAGTATTAAAAAATGAAGTGTGTGTAATTATTTGAATGTAAACTGCTGTAAGCAGGCCAGGGCCGAGAGCCATGGGAGCGACACAAAGTTGAGGAATGTAGACTGAATGTTAATGTGAAACACCTGCATGGCACACCGGTCTTAAACCCCACTGAGGAGCTCCAGAAGGATTTAAAGAGGAGTGGAGGGAGAGAGGACTAGGACTGGGACGGTTTGTGCTTTGTATGTGCGACACTAAGCTGTGATGCTGCTGCTTCTTGCTTCAGTTGCTTATTTTTAATTAGAAAATTGTCTGTCTTTGTTAAGCTTACTTCTGCTGCCTTCTTCCCATATCTATAAACTTTGATATTTGGACTAATACAGTTTCTGTGTGGGGATAGTTCACCCAGAAATGAAGAATCCATCATCATTTACTCGTCAAGTTGTTGCAAACATAGTTTCTTTCTTTTTTGAGTCTAAAGGAAAGTGTTAGGCCCTGTTTACACTAATATGTTTTTGTTTTAAAATGCATTAGTTTTGCTACGGTTATGCCTTCCGTCCACACTATGCGTTTTCGAGCACCAAAAACAGAGGTTTTTGAAAGTGCTAAAGAAGCCGTTTTCTTCATAAAGCGCTGCTGCTCCAGGCCTGGTCATGTTCTGCCAAGCTCCTCCATCCGGGTGATGTAATGTAATTTGCAACAAACGCAGAAAGGTGATGTGACAATCCCCACATGTATCGAAATTAGACAGCAAAATAAGAAAATTTTGTCATTTATTCTTTCATTTTTTGAGTTCTGTTGCATGTTTTTTAAAGCCCATCTTTATACAGAAATGGTGGCTAAACCAATCTATGTAAAAATAAAAAGACAACAAGATGAGGCTGAAGTCTTCACTGTGTCACGTTAAAAGAACTTAACTTAGTGTCACACATCAATATCAGTCCCAAAGCAGTCGACCAATCAAAAGATCTCAAATGCGGGCCAGGCATTGCAAAATTCTGTTTACAATAGCAAGTTGGCATAACAACAAAAATATGTATTGAGTGAATGCCCCTAAGGCTTTTTTGTGCTTAGCCTTTCTTTTTTTTTTTGCCCAGTTTTAGCTTTAATATTCTGACAGGTGTGATAAAGTATGTGTATTCTTTTTGTCCTCAGGTACGACGAGGCAGCCCAAAGAGGGAGAGGTCCCAGGTGTGGACTACAACTTTGTGAGCGTTGAGCGGTTTATGGAATTAGAGAAAAGTGGGGCCTTGTTAGAAAGTGGAACGTACGAAGGTAAGCTGAATTCCACCACTAAACCTCCATAAATCTTTACCTCTAGAAATAAAGCTTATGTCTCACCTGTTACGCCGTAGCAGCCTGGAATATAAATTTTTCCTTACATTTTCTCGATGGTCCCGCAAGAAGGAGCGTGTGTGGCTTTGACATTGAGCAAAGGTATTCAGAACTAGTGCAGTTTGGTCTCCTGAGAGCCGACATTGAGGTGTGTGGACTACTTTCACATGCAGGTTTATGAGAGGAAGATCCTAACTGAATCTGGGAGGCATTGCATCATAACAGGGTAATTGCACTGGATTTACCTTAAAAATGGCAGATAAAGGCACATTTGAGATAGTCGACTTTTCCTATAATGATTATATGTCCATTAGAAATTTGTGACATTTATTGTTGTAATTTTAAATCCATTAATTGAAGATGGCGACAGTCATATGTATCTGTGAATAGCTGCGGGAGATAAATATCAAATATCTGGGTTTCAGACATCTGCCGGTCTGTTTTTTACCAGCGTCTCGTCAGTTGTGGGGGAATGAGTCGAGTCCACCCTGCATTACTATAACTGTGCCCCTGTCGGGAGACTCGGTGAAGGCGGCGATAGTTTCAGATGCATCGAGTGATATACCCCCAAATCTGCGCGGGGATGCTGTACCTAGCTTGCCTTTCCTGAAAACCAGGATGTCTATTTTTCCATATATGGTCTAAGGATTTCCGGAGCCTATTCTCCTGTCCAGTTTACATTCTGCATGAACGGGTAGTCATTTCAGCTCATGCTGTCGTCTTTCACTGGTGGGTTAATGACATTCATGTTAAAGCATTTTGTTCAAAAGACACGACTGTAACTAGTCGACGCCAGTTTTTAAGGCTTTTATTGATTGTGCTTTTATTAATTGAAAATATTGAACTGAATCCTGGTCCTGACAAAACTGTTTTTATGTCTACTTTTTTATTTTATCTGTGTTTTTATTCCTATGTCTTAAATAGTATGCTGAGCCTGGGTCCAGACACAAGTGTGATAAATGTATACATGTCACAATCTTTAGGCATTCAGCATCTTCATTACAGTTTTCTGAGGCTCTTCCTGCTCCTGACATTTCAGGTTTAAATTATAAACATGTCAAAGTTCATAAAAAATCTAAAAAAAATCTTGCCACATTAAGTCAGCTTGGTAAATTTAGCGGTTTCAAAATTTGTCATTTAAATATGAGGAGCTTTGTTCCCAAACTGGATGAATTCAAAATCATAATTGCTGAAACTCAACTGACAAACCACAACTGACTCAGAATCATTACAATTAGTTGTCAATCTATACAACCAGCTTTCAGTTACTATTATTGTCACATACAAGCCCCCAAATACCAGCGCGGCTGCATACTTAATGCAGCTTGCTGACATGATAAAATGTGTTAAAAATATTAAGAGCTTGTAATTCTTGGTGACATTAAAATGAACTTGATTGACAACTCATCCAAATCTTTGAAAGCCATAGCTATAAAATTGGGTTTACATCAATTAAGACTCCAACTAGATTTGGTAAAACTCGTAATTCTGTTTTGGATATTATATTTACAAACCAGCCAACTAAGTATGGTATATCTGGAGTAATTCACACCTCTGTTTCCGACCATTCCCTCATATGTCATAAGGAAAACTTTTAAACACCCAAGAACTCGTAAAAACAATTATACATCAAAAATACCAAACTCAAAATTACCTCAGTTTAATGCTTAATTTGAAGATATTAGCTGCAACCCAAATCACATACTTATGCACTATTCAACGCCATTTTGTAGTATAAATAGTGTAAGTAGTGTGTTCACACTAAAAACTCTGAAAATAATAAGTGCACTTTAATTACCCGGATGATGCACTCATTCAGCCGCTAAAATGAAGTGTGTAATGATGGACACTTCACGCACTCAACGAACGCAGTTTTGCCTACGTAGCGGAAGGGGTGGAGCTATCCGACGCACATGTTGGATAACTTTATTTATTTTTTATGGTAAAAGCAAAATTCTACGAGAGTGATTATAGCGCCTCCTGATGGTGAATGCGGTTATACTCACGGCAGGTGTTATTTGATAATTCGGTTGTTTATTTCACTGATTTGGCAACCGTCAAACCTCATTAGGGAAACCGTTTGAATTTCCGCTTAGTTAAAAAACATAAGTGTGCCATTTGGGACGACACTACATACATGTACTATACTGTTGAGTGTGTAAGTGCATAAGTACATAGTGCATGAGTGCATAGTGTATAGTGTGTCATTTGGGACGCAGATATTGATTGGAGTAATGAGATGGTATTGTCAAATCATGACTGCATCTTATCAAATTTTTATAGCAGAGTGGAGGAAATATGGCAAAAGTATACAACTACTTGCAAAATGTATGTCAGACACAACAAAGTACCTTGGGTAAATTCTGAAATTTTTTAACTTTAAAAAAAAGCATACTCTCTGAAGTCATACAGATTTTCTAAAACACGTGAAAATAGGCTTATTTTTAGTCAATACAGAAATAAATGTTACTCTGAATTGCGTAAAGCTAAACAACTCTACTTTCAAAATCAAATTAACCAAGCTGTTACCAATCTAAGAGTACTATGGCAAACTATTAAATCTATAACTGGTGAATATATCTTATAAAATAACAATAACTTACGAATTGCTATAAATGGTACTCTTCTCACTGATCAAGAAAAAAAGACTATCTCATTCAAAGAGTATTTCATTTTATCTGTACAAGAGCTGTCTTCTACATTTTTAGCTTCTCCAATGCTCCCAGTACCACCAAATACACTTCAACAGTTTTTTTTTTTGTGAGATCTCACAAAGTGAGTTATTCGATGTCCTAAACTCTTTTAGTATTTCTCATGCCTGCGATGCAAACAGTTTAAACATGCATTTTATGGAAACTCATGCTAGTACTCTTATACCACTTTTTCATCATTCAGTTAATTTTTGAAAAACTGCTCAGATATTTCAATATTCAAATCTGAGAAGCCAACTAGTGTCTCTAATTATTGGCCAATCTCAATTCTCCCTAAATTTTCAAAGTTACTTGAAAAAGCATTGTGTAATCAGTTAATTGAGTATCTTGAATACAATAAGTTGCTTAGTGACGATTGCGGTCAACCATGTCAGCATTGCTTTTATTTACTGAACATATACGTATGGCACTAAATAAAGGTCATGTCACTGGAGCTGTATATATATATATATATATATTTTAGAAACGTCTTTGATACAGTTGGTCATAATATTCTTTTAAACAATTTGATCTCTTTTACTCTCTCTTCTTTTGCAATAGACATGTTTTCATCATATTTATCCAATAGATCTCAGGCTGTTAAAATTAGTACGACAACATCCCAGGCATTAGGTTGTTCTATGGGGGTTCCACAGGGAAGTATTTTGGGACCTTTACTTTTCCCGATGTATATCAATGAGCTCCCTCAGGTAATTAAACATTCGGATTCTTTATTGTACGCAGATGACACTGTACTTTTTGTGTCTAGATAAAGTACAGACACAATTAACAATAAATTAAATACAAATCTTCAGTATTTACAAGAGTGGCTGCAAGACAATCATTTGACTATTAACTTTAAGAAAACAGAGTTTATGTACTTTTGTTTACCTAGGAGAAAATTATCCATATCCTATCCTATCACTTTCTCAAATCAAAAACTTTCCATTGAATCCACATATCATAATCAGTCTGGACTCTCACCTTACACTTATTGTAACCATGTTCAAAATGTTTATAAAAAAGCTGAAACAAAAGCTATTTGTTTATGGGAAAATTAGGACAAATTTGTCTTTTTCTGTTTCAGAAAATTATCTTCATGCCATAATCTTGTCTACCTTATCTTACTGTTTGCCTGTTTGGTCTCTCACTACAATTGTTATCTTGGAGCCAATAGCTAGACTGTACAATAGGGCCTATAAGATCCACAACAGACTTTCTGGATGAACACATCACTGTTTTGCTCTATCACTCTCTAATGCTTTAACATTTCAAAACTACATTATGAACACAGGGATTAAACTGTACTATAAAATTGTAAATAGCGCTACCTCAGCAGCCCTTTGTGCTTTGGTACCAAAACTCAAAACAAGGACTGATCGTTCCACCCGATCTGTAACAAATGGATGTTTGCCATTACCGGCTTTTAAAAACTGTTATGGACAGAGATCTTTCTTTTATGTATTCACAAAAGCCTGGACTGAGATCCCACAACAACTAAAAACAATACCAACATTGAGACTTTTAAAAAAAATCCCATACTCGTCATCTGATGGTCAGCTATCGCTGTAGCCACTGCGATAGTAGCCTGCTTTTCTCTTATTTTATATGTTTGGTGATTGTTTGTACTGTGTTGATGGATGAGATGTCTGTCTGTTTTTATGTTCTGCAGAGCAGAAACCTGCTGAAAAAAACAGCATTCATGCTGAGTCAGGCCTGATTATCTTTTAATCTTTTCCTGTTTAAAAATTATAAATAAATAAATATTACAGTTTAGAAATATCACACTGCAAAAGGGCTGTTTTTCCAAACATCAGCATGTCACCTCTATTGCAGATTTTGTTTTCGTTAATATTGAGTTTGAATTTTAGACACTATAGTCTGTTTTTTTTTTTTTTTTTATATTGCTTCAACAAAGGTAATAGTTCCGACGATAGTGCGACACAGCTGTTTCATCTATCAATGATTTTATTTTTGAACTAATTATTAAACTTAATATTTCACCGATTCATTCATAAAGTCTGTTTTGCACAAATGATTCAATGAATCACTCAAATTTGCCATCACGTACTTGGTTTGGTGTCATATTTATTTATCATTGACAGTCCAAAACCAGCCAAGCTGGCAGTAGAATAAATTCACCAAAATAGTCAGATGTCATATTTTTCTAAATAAATTATTTTTTAAATCTCAATGTGAAACAAGCAATGTCCAAAAATCTTTATAATCTTTTTTAAATTAATTTTCATT